GTACCCAGAGCTTGGGGAACTGTGGGTTATATTTGGGGGCTGTGGCAGAGATTACTAGCTGCTCACCAAATCCTAATTTCCTCATTTTCTGGGTGTAGGAGACCATTCTGTGGGCCCAGCTCTCAGCGGAAAGCAAGTTCTGATGCACAGGACCCACACCCACGGATAGGTTCTCCTGTGGGGAATCAGGCCTGCATTGTACCTAGACTACTCTGAGATTTGCTTTTGTTAAAACTCCCTCACCCTGAATTGAGGCAGAAAACACTTATTGTAAAGTAACTCCTGAAAATCCATTCTAAACCTTCCAAGGATGAGTGTAACCGGTTCAACCACTTTTGCATTTCATTTGCAAATATCCTTCTGTGATGTGATTAGTGGCATTGGCTCCTTTGTTTTCTGTAAAAGGTAACCACTTAAAGTGAACTTGTGCATAGCAAATGAGGAACATCATGTAATGTGCCCAGAAAAATAAAAAAAGGCCTGTCCGGGCCAGGACCAAGGTTTTTCTCCCCTTGACAGAAAAACCATGCTGTCCCTTTTCCTCCACAGGACTCCGTAGTCCATGAGATTTTCTCATGCTTCATCCATAATGTGGTGGACCCCACGAGCCGGGGTCTGCATTATCTGGGCACATACCCTGCAGTTAGGTGTGACCTTGTGGTTGAGTTCTAGCCAATGGAATATGAGTAGAAGTTATGTGTATCACATCTAGGCCTGGATCAAAACTATTTAAGAAATTCCAGAAAGGTGATCCCTAAACAGTGCTATATAACAACTATTTACATAGCATTTACATTGCCTTAGGTATTATAAGTAATCTAGAGATAATTTAAAATATACGGGAGGAGGTGAGTAGTAGGTTATGTGCAAAATACTATGCCATTTTATATAAGGGACTTGAATGTCGGTGGATTTTGTTATCTGCAAGAGGTCCTGGAACCAGTTCCCTGTGGGAACCGAGGGCCCACTGGACCTGCAACAAGGGCATTTGGGAATAGAAATGGAGGCTCAGAGATCACTGTAGTCTTGAGGATGCTAGTGCACTATGAAGAGCTAAAGTAGAAGACATGCCCCGGGCTGATGTAGGGAGTCTGGGGGGATGTTCAAAAGGAAAGAAAATCTGAATGCAGTTCATAGAGCTTTGGGAACAGTAGCAGGAAATGGGGCTTCCTATAAAGTGATCTTAAGGTGCTCTAATGCAGCCGATAAATTTTAAAACAGATCACAGCTCTTCCTAGGGAGTTGCAAAGAGTGTGAGATGATGCAAAGTGTGTATTTGAGCTCAAGACCAGAGTCTCAGCCCTGGCTGGTGTGGCTCAGTTGGTCACAGCATCATCCTGTAAACCAAAGGTCACGGGTTTGATTCCTGGTCAAGGCACACACCTAGGTTTCGGGTTTGGTCCCTGGTTGGCGTGCATATGAGAGCCAACCTGTTGATGTTTCTCTTCCTGTCTCTCTCTCTAAAATCCATAAGTATGTCCTCAGATGAGGACTAAAAAAACAAAAACAGAGTCTCCCATCTGAATGTTTCACAGCAGAGACAGGGTACATACTGGGCTGGGTAGTGGGGAAGCCTGCTCAGCTTCCTGTGGAAATCGTGAAGCAGTAGACGTTTTCTGGGGATGGGCGGGCCTGGCTTAGACACACTGGGAGAACTCAGAAGTTCTTCTCTCCAGGATATCTCCCTGGCCTCTCCCCCAGCCCAAATCTGGGATAAGAATCCTTCCTGTGCACTACTGTATCAGCCCAATTTTACCACTGTTCCAATTACCTGTTGCTGAATAATGAAATCACGCCCAAACTTACTGACTGAAAACAGCAATACTCACTTTTTTTCTTAGCTATCTCTCATGGTTTGGGGCAGTCACTGGGCTCAGCTATGCAGTGCTCTTTTAGGGTGAGTGTCATCCTCTTGAAGTCAGAGGGGGAATGTAGTCACCTCGAAATCTTCCTCACTCACAGACCTGGTGTTGAGGTTGATGCTCACTGACAGCTGCAGCTCAACCAGGACATCTACACGTGGCCTCTCAGGTGGCCTGGGCTTCCCCACCGCATGGCAGCTGGGGTCCGGGAGTGTGATGGCCATGAGGACCAGAGGGTGTGCGATGGCCTTTTCTAACATAACTTTGGGAGTCATGCAGAGTCACTTTCACTGAATTTTCTTTTGTTGCAGCAGTCACAAGCCCTCAGCCACATATAGGGGCGGGAGCCAGCATAGGAATGTCAAAGAATTTGAGCACTACAACCACTGTCACAGGACTTTCACATAATTTTGTCTACCTCCCCTAGGAGAAAGTAAGTTTCTTGAGGGTATTGGGGATTCTTATTTGTGTTTGGATCCCCAGCGTACAGAAGGCATTCAGCAGGTGTTCTATGGATGAGTGAATAAATTAGCATAGCGGTGTTGGAGGTTTCAATAAGCTCTCATCACAGATGTTTTCTTTGTGAGAAATAAAATATTTGGAGGAACTACACTTCTAATCTAATTCTGAAGACAAAGGAAAGGCATTAAAGTTAAAAAATATAATTATAGTTGTCATTAAGAAAGATTTGCTTTCATTTTATAGGACAGGTTAGGGGCGATGAGAGAGGAGGAAGGGGAGAACTTTGAAGGCAGTCTATCCAGACGAGGTGTAATAAGATGCTGACTCAGAGGAGTGGATTGAAGAGGAAGAATTAAAGATAACTACGCTTTTGTTTTTAAACTTTATTTTTACTGCTAGGACTATTACAGATGTCTCCATTTCCCCACCCTGTGTCACCTCCACCCAGCCCCTGCCCCCGCTTCCCTCTGGCCATCACCACATTGTTGTCCGTGTCTATGGGTCATTCATATATGTTCTTTGGCTAATCTCTTCACCTTCCTTCATCCAGTCCGCCTCCACGCCCTTCCCTCTGACAGTTGTCATCTGTTCCATGTATCCAGGCCTCTGGTTCTATATTGTTCATCAGTTTATTTTGTTCCTTAGATCCCACATTAAAGTGAGATCATATGGCTTATTTCACTTAGCAGAGTAATCTCCAGGTCCATCCTTGCTGTCACAAAAGATAAGAGTTCCTTCTGTTATGTGGCCAAGTAGTATTCCACTGTGTAAATGTACCACAGCTTTTTTATTCACTCATCTACTGATGGGCACCTGGCCTGTTTCCAGATCTTGGCTATTGTAAATAATGCTGCTGTCAACATAGGGGTGCTTATATTTTTTCTGCTTGGTGTTTTTGGGTTCTTAGCTTTTGAACTTGGATGGTTTGGAAAATGGTAGGGTGATTGACAGAAAAAGGGAAGGCAGAGTAAGATCACTGTTGAAACGCTAGCCATTCAAGTCCCCTCTCAAATCTCAAGTCTTCCATGTAGCCTTTCTGATTTCTCCTTAGCCAGATGCAATATCTTTCTCCTTTCAACTGCCGAGGCCTTTGTTATATAGTTATGCTGCTTAACTTCCTCTGCCTCTTACGGTTCTGACTGTATCATTTTTGCATTTCGCCTAGCACCTAAAATAGTGCTTTGTGCTTTAAAAGCCATAGCATGCTTACATTTACTTATGTGTTTGGGGTGGGGAAAAGTAGTCCCTCAAATTGCCTTTACTTTGTTACCGTCTTTGTCCATTTGGGCTGCTATAACAAAATACCACAGACTAGGTGTAGCTTATGAACAACAGGAATATTTGTCGCACAGTGCTGGACACTGGGAGTCTGCGATCAGGGTGTCAGCATGGCTGTATGAGGGGCTCTCTTTCTGGTCATAGAGTTCTAGTTGTGTTCTCATGAGCGGAAGGGCTCTGTGGGACTTATAAGAGCAGTAATCACATTCATGCGGACACCTCCCTCATAACCTAATCACTTCCCAAAGACCTTCTAACACCTTCTAACACCTCACATTGGGTCTTAGGCTTCTAACGTGAATTTGGGAAGGACACTAACATTCAGACTATAGTAGTTACTGCTCCTTTCCCACATTTACTTTTGTTTTTCCCCTACATTTTGTGTTATTCTGATGTAGCTACACTTTTTTCCTTCTAATTTTTCTACATCAGAAAAAACTAGATCTCTAAACTATCATTCTTTAGCTTTACTGAAAAATAAATAAATCGGTATTTTGACAAGCCCTGTTCATATTTAGCGTTTTTGATAACAGTCTCTATACATAGTATGTTGCAGGGGTGGAATTCTCCTCCTTCCTCCTAACATTTTTTTTTTTTTTTAGCACTACCTCCTGCAAGGAAGCCGGAGTTCTGCATGTGCTACCCTAGCTTTCATCCGAGAGTGTATGGTTAAGGAAGGGAGTGCTAAATTGGAGATTTCCATTCTACATTTAGGGCCTAGGAGGAAATTGGAAAATCTGAGTTTGAATTCATGTAGCTTGTTCACAGGCGGGAGAGTGAAACATCCTAAAAAAATCACTGGGTGAGTTTCAAGGTGATACAGTTATTGGGACTCCTGGGCCAGCAGTACTGGAGGACAAAAGAGGAGTGAGGGTCAGCAGACCGCCGTGGTTAGATTCCTGATCTCCTCCCCCAGAGACACAGCCCGCTTCCTGGCAGATTGCGTGCTAACTTGTTATGCATCTTGTTAAAGAAGAAAGACCTTGGGAAGGTTAGGGGAACGTTGTTTCTACTATCTCTGAGAGATCTTTCCTGATGGGCGGAGGTCCATTATAGGACTCTCCTGGTTAGTCTCCATTTCATCACTCCCATTGCCCCAGGGAGGTAGGGTGACTTCGCTGGCTTTGGTAAATAGGAAAAATAACCAGACGTGTCTCACTCCGCCTGGCCCTTCCTCCTCGAGGGCTCTACAGAAAGCACGCGTTCTCCGTTCGGGCAGGTCTCTCCTTGCCTAGTGTTGTCTGTATCTAGAAAGAAAATTCTGTTTAAGTCTGGGGTTCAGTTAACCGCCATTTGGCTTTTACACAAGGCTATTTCCTCTATTTTGGCCGTTACTACTATCAAAGAGAGTATTTTGACCTCTGTTGGCTGCTTTTGTTTTGTTTCTCAGTTTCTCTAGAACTTGGATCGGGAAGAGAGCTGCTGTTACTCAGCCCCCTCAGAGACCCCAACATTGTGAGTACGACTGTGTAGAACACTGGCGACTATTTTCCGAAGTGTCCAATCACACCATGTACACGCGTGTCAGTTTCACTTCACATTGACACGGAAGGTTCTCATTTCTGCTCTCTGTGTCAGCACTGTCATGTCAGCTGGGCTTCAGGTGGCCCTGAGGGCGACAGTAAGCCACGTTGTTTTTACCCACCATACTCAGCTGATCACGTGACATGGCCCGGGCTCTTTCAAAGCTGTCACTTATAATTGAACTTAAAGTATACTCCTCCCGCAAAAAGGGTTTCTTTGGGAAAAAGAGAAAATTATTGGGAACATGCAGACATGGCGAGTCCTGTGCAAGTTCGCTAGAACAAAGAAGAGGGGACTTTTTTATAAGGAGGAAGAGAAGTTAGGACTGTTGCAAGAGTTCTCTCTGTGGGGAGTGAGAGCTCCCCCTACAGGCCCTTCAACCGCCAGTCTTGGTTGAGGTCTCGATTAATTGTTCTACACACTGTTAGAGGTTTGGTCTTGAGTTCTTGCTGAACTGGGGAAGGAAGCAGGGTCCAGAGATGCCATTTTGTGAGTGATTCCTTGTCTCCTTGAACTTTAGAGAGACAAATACGATATTTCATTGGTATGGCAAAATTAAAGAAGAGAAGACAAAACACACGTGAAGGTAATTTTTCTTGCAAGTGTTGAATTCAGAAGTAAAAGGAGGAGAAATCCTGGACACTGGTAAGATGCCCTCTTTTTTGTAGCTGTATAGTGAAGTGTGCTCTGAAGCTCTTGAGGAGAACGATGCTGCTGTTGCTGCTGTTGGTATTTGGAGATGAGGTTATTATTTATTCATTAAGGGCTTACTGAGTGCCAGATATATGCTGAAGGCTTAGTACACATCATCTCACTTAATCATGGTCAGAGGAGGCCCTGACAATGGTAGCTATGTTTGAGGTAGGTAATATTATTCCCATTTTGCACGTGATGAAGCTGGAGCTCAGAGAGATTAAGTACCTGCTTAGCCACACAGCTAAAAGCAATTAGTAAATGATCTGGCTCATTCATTCAGTCAATCATTTTGCAGGTACTCAGCCATTGTTCTTAGTTGTAAGCAACAGAGACCAATTCTGCTAGATTTTAGAAGGAGAATTTATTAAAGGGATCCTGGATTGCTCACAGAAATGCCAAGAGGTGGAGAGCCAAGCACGGAAGCTTCGTGGCAGGAACAATGGTCAGAACATGGCTGCTCTGCTGCTCTGGCCTTTGCCATAGACACTTCAGCCTGTGATGTTTATTCACTGGGGCTGGATGCTGGATGCTGCTTGCAAGCACACCCTCGTCCTCTATCCTGCTGCAGCCACTACTGTCCCCAGAGGTTCTGTAGTCCCTGCTCCTTGGCATCCCTCCCTCTGCATTTAAAGCCCAGGCAGATGTCTTTGATGAATGAAGTGTGAGTGCCTGGGATGCTCTTGGGACACATTTCTTGCACTTACATCTTTTCTCCTGGGTGGCAGACCTTGCTCCCCAGACTCACGAAGAGGAAGTACCCAAATGTGGTAAAGATGTTCAAACGCTGGGCAGGCAAAGGAACGACCATCTGTCCATTGACTATATGAATGACACTTCCTGACATGGTATGAATACAAAGATGGATAACACCCAGAACCTGTCCCCGGAGACTGGATCAGCTTATAATTCTTTCCCTTTTGGTGGCTACATTTATTTGGCATCACATAGTCTGCAAAGTCTCTCGCTCTCATTGTTTCATCAGGTCCTTCCTGACAGCTATATAAGGTAGGCAGAACTGATATTATCTTTACTTTATAACTGCAGATGCTAAGAAGTTAGGTATTGAGCCCAAGGTCTCCCCACTGGGGAGGATCAGAGATAGGGCACGGCCCTGTCCCCGACTCCAGGCCCCGTGCTGAGTCAACCAGAAGCAATGCACCTACACAAACACCATGCTTCATGGGGTCCCAGGCTCATGGTTTCCCCCACGTTTTAACACTTCTGAAATTAGGATGCATCATACAATCAGTGGTACACCATAGTGTGATTCACAGCTTTTTTATTCCTAGTGGTATGTAAAATAAGGGAGCATCTTCAATTCGTGGAAGTTTCAGATTCAGTGGAATGAAGTCACTGGGATAGAAAGTGATAAGGGACCTAGAGGAGAGCTGGGAGATCCCAGAGGGCTTTGTGCTGATGCTGTGCAGGCTCACCCTCCCTTAGTCCCTTATCTGCAATTCTAAATACCGAAAGGCTCTGAAAAAAAAAGTTGTTGTTTTTTTTTCACCCAAGTTTGGCGCCGATACTCATTGGGCAGCAAAACCTGACCTGAACTGATGTGAAGTAATTTTTTAATTTTTTTAAAGTTTATTGATTTTGAGAGAGAGAGAGACATCAATTTGTTGTTCCACATATTTGTGCATTCATTGCTTGTATGCGCTCTGACCAGGGATCGAACCCACAACCTTGGTGCATAGGGATGACACTCTAATAAACTGAGCTACCTGGCCAGGGATGATGTGAAGTAATTTATAATTATGAATAATTTATAAATATAATATATAATTATAACTACATTATAATTTTAGTTATTCTACTGACCACGAAGGTCAGTCTGCATAGCTGCGGACATGTTTGATAATGATTTGTGATCCCAGCCCCTTGAGGGGAGGGAGAGGAAGAGGCGTTACCTGATGTTGGGTCCATGTACTGCACTGTCTTTCTAAAAATCTTAACATTCTGAATTTTGCAATGTATCTATACTCGGGGGGGTTATGGATAAGGGACTCTGGATTGTATCTGAACTGGGGCTTGATTGGTGAATAGAACTTACATGTTTGGAGATAAGGAGGGGATTTTAGGAAGAAGTAAAATCATCATTCCATGCCAGCTTGGGTCTGGGTACGTCATTATCCAACCATTAAATATGTTTGAAAGGCAGAGAAGAGCTGCATTACTGATAACTACTTTCCCTTAATTCATGATTCATATATAACCGGAGGGTTGGACTTTCTGGGTTTGGCTTTCTCCCCACAGTATTAATCCCCACCTTTTCCCACAAATCAGCTGACTTCTCCGAAAACTCTAACACACCCTTTGGCTGAAAAAGAGCATTAGGCAATCGGTGAAATTCCCCATTCCCTGTTTCTCTCTCTGTAACCCTGGACAGAGGAATCTCAGGCCTGAGAGAAGTATGCAGTTCTTGTTTCAAAAGCAGAGGGAGCTCCAAGATCAAGGCTGAGTTACCCTTTTCCTTTCTCATGGTCTCCCAGCCCCCTCTTGTTTAGATCAGGGAATTTCAGACATGCACACTGGAGTAGAGAATCATACGAACAGAACCAGACAGGGAGGCCGGCAGAGGTTCCTGCAGAGGGAGCGTCCAGGCCCCGTGCTTCTCTCCCCAGGAGCCGGCAGGGTCGCCCAGCATGCCCACTGGCAAGAGAGGGGACTGACCCACTTGCTCCCATCAGCTTCTGAAGGTAAAACCTTAAAAACAAAGAGCAGAGCTTTGATGAAGGAAAAAAGAAAGGCAGAAAACTTCACATACGAAGGTTTCAGGCAAAGACGGAGGGCTGGAAAAAGCAGAATAAAAGGAAGACAAAATATAGATAACCTATTTCTCTTAGGATGACCTCATCCACCCTCACGTCACCCCACCGCCTAGCAGTGTTTTCAGGGTTCACATTTAGCAAAACTTTTCTAGGAACTGTGGGAAGATATCTTATCTTTTTAGTAAAGGGCAAAAAAAAAATCTGGAAAATTAATGTAGAAAATTGAGGGAATACTTTTGTTTTTCTTTTATGATTCTTGTAAGTCAGTTGCCCCTCTTCTCCTTTCCCACCCAACCCTGTCTCAGACCACTTCTCCCAAGGCCACCGCCTCCCTCTAGAGAAAGAAGCCCATTGCTCCATCCACGGCCATTGGGAGTATCCATAGATATGCACAAAATAATGAGCATAGTAAAGAGAGCTGGTTTGAAGTGATAGGGGGGTTAATTGTCAGAAGGGGAGAGAGAAAATGTCCTAGGTGAATGGTCATAGTAGGGAAGGACTCCCGGAAATGGGAGTGTAAATGGGGATATTATTCTGTGAGGAGAGGAGAGAGACTGCTAGAGTGGGGGGTCAGGGTGCGGGGGAAGAAGACTGGGAGACAGTACTCATTCTTTTGGAGAAAAACTGGGATGAGGCCCAGAGAAGCAATGGGAGAAGGTATGGTTAATTTTAGCCTAGAAAATCAGTGGAAGTGGAAACAGGAAGCGGGTGAGAAGACAGGTGTCCTATGGTGATGATTAGGGATGTGGCTCGGTTTAACCTGTTGTTATTCTTACGGAGGGGACCCTGGTTCCAGGTGACCCTCTACTACCAAAGCAGGGGCCTGTGTTTGCTAGACAAATACAGATAGGCCTACTACCTCTTTAGCTCCAAAGTCCAGAGGTGCGCAGAACCGGGCCCAAGAGACACGCTGCTCACCAGCTCACGCTGCACGAATTGCCAAGGATGTGGTAAGTGATCACGAGTCTACAGGGATGCGCATGTCCAGTCTCTTTATCTTCTTAAGAAAACAGCTCAGATCTGAAGCTTGGGATTTGGTTTTATCTGTGCCTTTTTGCTCTATTTCAACCTAAGATTCTTCTCCATGTGCTGTCGTCCTCCCTGTACAAATGCTGGAGCTCTGCACGAGTCTGCTGTACCTGTGTCACCCACCTCTTCGTATGCCCTTTTTCCCAGGTGCATTGTGCTGTTTTCCCTTTTGGCATGGGTGTACGCTGAGCCTACCATGTATGGGGAGATCCTGTCCCCTAACTATCCTCAGGCATACCCCAATGACATAGAGAAGTCTTGGGATATAGAAGTTCCTGAAGGGTATGGGATCCATCTCTACTTCATCCACATGGACATGGAGCTGTCAGAGAACTGCTCATATGACTCTGTGCAGGTAGAGTATACAAGCACCTACAGGGTGGGCGGGGGGTCAAATGAGAAGGATGCAGGAGGGAGTGCCACGGGCATACAGTGAATTGGAGTCACATAGCGGTGAGGTGGCATGTGTTCTGCTCTCTTTGTCCCACTTTCTCTCGCCTCTGTATCAGACTGTGACCCTTTCCTAGCTTCTCTTTGATGCTTCTCTCAGATAATGTCAGGAGGCCTTGAAGAAGGGAAAATCTGTGGACAGAGGACCAGCAAGAATCCCAGTTCCCAAATTGTGGAAGAGTTCCAAGTCCCAAACAATAAACTCCAGGTGATCTTTAAGTCAGACTTCTCCAATGAAGAGCGTTTCACTGGGTTTGCCGCATACTATGTTGCTGTAGGTAAGGCCCACTCTTCTCTATTGACTCACTGACCCGGCTAAGAGGTTAGAAGCAGGGTAGACATTGAGCAATGCTGTGAATACAGATTCTCTTTAGAACTCTTACAAAGTATAGACTTGACTTGGATCCCTCTAGGAGTTGCTATTATGAAATTCAAGCACATGACCATATCTTAGTGGTGATGATATAATGTTAAGAATAGATAATAAACAGTAATTTATTGAGAGCCATGGGAGATGGGCACTGTATTAGGAATTTTGTGTATATTAATTTAATCTTCACCTCAACTCTTCAAGCAGGCATTATTATCTTCATTTAAAGATAAGGAAAGGGAAGACTAGGAAAGTTAAATATCTTACCAAGACTCACACAGGGAATGTGCAGTATTCAAACCCATTCAATATATGGCAAACGAACCTTCAAATTCTGTGTGCTCTACACCTAAAATAAAGTCAGAACATCTTGTAAAGCCAAGCTATAGATTAGATTTGAAAGAAGTGCAAACATCATCCGAAATAATAAATGTAGTCATTGTTCCTCCCTGCAGAGGACATATCAACATGTTTAGCTTGCAGAGTGTTTTCTTTGGAGCAGAAATGTTCTGTTTGTGAGAGAGGTCAAAGGTCTCTGGCAATGCGAGCTGTGCGACGGTAGGATATGACTCTGGAATCGCATCTCAGGGGAGTAATAGAGAATAATACCATCCTGCAATGAAAGTCTTCAAGCAACAAGCCTTTCTTACTTTTTCTTGCCCTTGTAGTTTTGGGTTTAACCACATTCTTCCTGCTAGGTCTTTGTCCTTGACCTCAGTGTTTCTCTACTTTTGTAGATATAAATGAGTGCACGGACTTTGCAGATGTCCCTTGTAGCCACTTCTGCAACAACTTCATTGGTGGTTACTTCTGCTCCTGCCCCCCCGAATACTTCCTCCATGATGATATGAAAAATTGTGGAGGTGAGTTTGGCATTGAGAGGGGTACATGGTCCCTGGGATTTGGAATAGCTTAAGGCTTCAATAAGGGCTTTATCTACTCTTCTGATTTTGATTAGCCTTGACCTTGATTTGGCATCTACTCTTAGTTACCTGAGGGGGAGCCTCAAGAGTAGAGGAAGGCAAGATTACAGAGACAAGTTAACTAATTGGAAAGGGGAGATAGATGGCTGTGAAGAAGTACCAGATGTCTATCTGGTGCTGTCCATACTGCAGAAGCCTCTATCATAAGCAAGGCGATAGAAGCCCAATAGGCCCTGGGTAGCTCTGCTAACATGTGCTGGGTGTGTAATTGCTGTGCATGGGCTCCAGTCAGGGACTGTCAGTTCGTAAGAGGAGTCATAGAACAAGAGAGAAGCTTCTTTGCTTGAGCCTACATCTGATGCCCCCTTTCTCTTTTTCTCTCTTAGTCAATTGCAGTGGGGATGTATTCACTGAACTGATTGGGGAGATCACGAGTCCCAATTATCCCAGTCTGTAC